TAACTTAGATTATCTTATTTTTTAAAGTAATTTTTTTTATTTTTAATAGATTAATATTATAAAATAAAGTTTTTTAATTAATCTCTGATTAAGTTAGGCTTTTTTTAGTTTATCTAGTTTAATTAACAGATTACTAATCTTTTTTTTAAATTTATTATAGGTTTTTAATACTAATTTAAAAATATATATAAAGTTTTTTTTATAAAGATTATAAAACTTTTCAGATATAATATTTTTTTAGGAGTCTTATTAATTTTATTTATAAATAGGATTAATCTTTATTTTTTTTTAAATAGCTTAGTCTTCGATATATTTTATATTATTATAATTATTTTTAATATTTTAGTTTTAATATTAGTTAATTTAGGATTTAGCTTATTTTAGAGCCTGATTTTTATTTATTAGTTTTATATAATTTATAGGTTATAGTAATAAAATTTTTTTCATTTTAGTAATAGTTTAATTATATGTTAGAATTTGGATTAAATTTTTTTTATTTTTTAGTTGTTGTATAGTTTATAGCTATAGTAATAAAAATTTAGTTAGAATTTATAATTTTAGATTTATATTTTTTTAGATAGGTGTTTTCTAAAATCAACTGTTATTACTATTAACTTATATAAGAAAAAGGAAATTTTTAAAAGTAATAAAAATATATGTTTTTTTATATATTTAGTTATAAAAAGTTTTAAAAAAGAGATAGAAGTAAAATAATATTTAAAATTATATTAGAACTAATTAAATTAGTATATTTTCTACTAATCTAATACTAATAATATAAAATTTCGAATATAAAAAAAATAAAAATAAAAATAAAAAAATACACATCCGCGGCTTATCTATTATAGAACGACCTGGTAGGTAAATAAAACAAATATAATAAAAGTATTAAATAGGATTAGTAAGACGGGTTGGGTTGGTGATGCCTGTCAGGCTGCCCTCACATAATAATATATTAATTAATCTTTATATTTATTTTTTTTAATTTAAAAAATAAATCGATAGAGATTAAAGCAGTTATTTTTAAATTTATTAAAATTAAATAAATATTTTTAAAAAAAATAGAAAACTTAAAATTAATTAATATAATTATTTTTATTAAAACAATGATATTATTTTTAATAATAAATATAAATTTTAAAATATATATAAAAATAGTTATTATAAGAATAATAATTTAAATAACTATAATATATTTATATTAGATTTAGTTTTTTTTTAATAATAATTTTATAAATAATCATAATTTTAAATAATAATTAGATTATTTTAACTTTTTTTTACTAAATCTATTCAGATTAAAATATAAATAAAATCCTTTTTGAAAAAAGCTAGTTCTAAATCTTTGTAATATATATATAAATCTGATTATAATAATTATATTATTTTTTAAAATATTTATTAATATATTAAATAAATTTTTCTAGATTATTTAATATAGCCGGGGGTTATAAAATCACTAGTATTTTATTAAAACTATTATTTTTAAAAATAAAAATTATATAATATTAAAAAATAGACTAATATTTAATTCTTAGTTTAATTAAATAATAAAAATAATAATATTAGTTAAAAAAATCTTTATAATAGTCTTTCTAAATTTTTTACTAGCTACTAAATCAGATTATTCTTAGATTTATAAATAAAATATAGCTTAAAAAACTATAAATAGAATAAAAAATAAATAAAAAATTAAAAGGTTTTATATATTATATATAAAATAGTTAGAAAAAATAATAAGATTACTAGGATTAAAGAAATAGAATAGATCAAGTAAATAGAATAAGTATATTAGGTCTATACTATGATAAAATTATCTTTAAAAAAATATTCTATTTTTATTATAGTTAGAATCTAGTTATTAATATATTATTCATAATTTTTAAATCTTTATTAGACTTAGATAAAACTTTTTATGATATTTTTGAATATTAAAAACTCTTATCTATGGTAGAAATATGTAAAAAACTAAAAATACATTTAAATATTAAAAATATATAGTTTATTAAAATATTTTAATTTATATGAATATTATTTTAGATATTATAAAGTATATCAATATTCTTATTTATTAAAAGTTTTATTAAAATTAGTTTTTTATTTTTTATTAAATAATTAAAGATTTTCTTTTAGTTATAATTAATAATATTAATATTAAATATTCATTTAATAATTTTTAAAATATCTATTATTATTACTAAAACTATCATTATTCCAATATAATTCAAGTAATTATATTTTAAATATATACTAATTATTTTATAATTAGTAAGAAATATAAGAATATTTTTAATAGTTTTAATTTAGATTTAATTATTTTTATACTAAAAGAATAAAAAAAATAAGATAATTATTATCTTTTATATTAATAAGAATAAAAATGTAAATAATTTTAAAAATAATTCTAAAAATAGATTATTATTAAAATTAGAAGAACTATATTTATTAAAATTCTTAAATATTATATATATTTAAATAAAAATAAAAGCCCGGTTTTTATAATTTTTATATTTATATAATTACTTTTTTAAATAGTATAAAAAATAGTATAAAATAAATATATTATTAGAATTATATAAGAAAACCATATTATAAATAGTAATAATAATAGATTTTAATAAAAATAAAATACTATTTATCTATTCTATAGTAGATTAATTTAAAAAGAAAATAAAGTTTAATTTCTATAAATAATATTATAAATCCAATTTAAAAAACATAAAAAGTCCAGTTTTTATAAATAAAACTGCAGATCTACTTTAAAAAATATAAAAAATCCGGTTTTATAAATAAAACTACAGATCTAATTCGAACGAAATAAAAAATCAAATTTTTAATACAAATTATAATTATTATTCTAAATAATATAAAAAATAATATAAAACTATTTGTTTATTAATGATAAAAGTATTTTATAAAATATAATATATTTTAAAAAAATAGTTAAAATAAAAAGAATAAATTAGCTAAATTTAAAAAATATTATTATATTATAATTAAAAATTTATTATATTTTATATATAATATATATAAAATAATATATATATTACTCATTAATCTATAGTTAATAATCTATCTATTATATCTAATTTTTTTAACTAGCAGATTGTTAGGAACTACTTGACGCAGTAGACACGCTGGTTAGGTAAGGTAAGTAAGATAATTAAAAGCAGTCTTCTATTAATTTTAAGACTAATTCTTAAGAAATCTTTGTTTCTAAAGAATCTTAGAATAATATATTATATAAAAAGAGAAGTAAAGAATATAATAATATAAGTGTTCGGATTAAAAACCTGATAAATCTATATCAACCTAGAAGCAGACTGTTATAATAGTAGATATAGACTGCTATAGTAGTAGGTATTGTATGATACAGATATAAATAATTAAAATAATAGTTACATCTTCATCTAATTTTAATTCTATAGTTAAAAATCTTTTATATTTTAATCTAGTTATATGATTATAGTCAGATTAAGATTAAGATATAACAGTCATGTTAAGCCACTCTATATTTATTAAATAATTTTCTCTGATTTTTAAAAAAAAACTTATATAAAAAAAATTAAAAAAATAATAAAAGTTTATAAAAATTAAATAATAAAAGGATTTTTTACTAACAGTAGATAATTTTTAACTAGTAGAAATAATAACTAAAAATTTTATATTATTATATTTTTTTGTTTTTAAAGTAAAATCTTTTGATTTTATAAAAAAAAGCTATTTAAATAATTATTTATTAAATAATTTTTTTTTAATTTTTAAAAAAGATTTATATAATAAGATATTAAAAAGAAAGAAAAATTTTTTAATTATATAAAATATTATAAATATAAGATTTTATCTGATTAAGAATAAAGGTTTTTAAAAAGTCTTTTAATTTTATAATTATTAGATATTAGAAATTAAGCTTAGACTCTTTCTATTTCTTCTTTCTTCTAATTCTTTTTTTAATAATTTTTATATTCTTTTCCAGTAAACCTTTTCTAAGACCCAACCATAGGGATTTTGTATATAGAAAAACCCTAAAACCCTAATGAATTCACTGGAATGATCCAATCAACAATGTCATCCAGGACGACCCGGGATATCTGGCACCGATTCCCAGCTTCGCGATCACCCACCTTACTTCCCAATGGATATATCTAGGGGGAATGTCGGAGCTATCCTCCGGAATAACAGTTGTGTTGCAGCAGCTCGAGATTGTTCGAGCTGGTTGAGAATGGAAAGTTCTTGGTAGGGCGTCCCTTCTTTGCAGTTCATTCAATCTCTTGTGGTTGGCTATACGCCCAAGCCGAATCCTACCTCTGCCTTCTATTCGCGAGATCCCACGACCCAATTGTTCTATTTGCTGGCCCGAAAAGTAGCGATACCAGGCTCTAGTACTCTATTAGCCTTTGCTAAGTAGAGATTTCAACACATGCGTACTGTAGTATCTCAACCGCTGGGTACCTCTTGCCGCTCGTTCTTTACTTTCCAAAATATTAGTTAGTTTCAATGTTCTTCTGTCGAGTGAGGATACGAAATAGATACCAGAGCAAGGATTATAGTAGGTATCAAAGATTAGGGAAGGCAGAAAGAACAGTTCTATACATTGTGCTAGATGATAAAACATCTACAGTATAATTTCCTTTTATAAAAGGCACACATCATTCATCCTCGCTTAGGCACCATGGCGGAGTGAAGAGTACAGCCAGGGTGTAGCTCAGCAGGAGTTCTCAATGAATGCCGGGGTGACGTCGCCTCAAATGCGTAGAGTTCCTGGTGGCCGAAGGTTCGGCCTGTCACAGAGATAGACAGCATATTCTTCTCCTTTTGCTTGAGGGGGATGGCTACCAGTTGCCTCTGCTGTCCTCGAGATGTGCTCGTTTTTCCCCCTGTCAAACATTCCGATACCTCAGTTGATATTGGGTAGAGCGACGTGGGAAGAGGGAAATTAATAGATTCATCCCCATACGTTGGCGGCGGCTTCATTGTATATGGTCAATTGTTCGCCCGCGCTAGGTACTGCATGAAAACGGACGATTGATTGAACCCGTCCGAAACGCAGCGATCTAACGAAAAGATGAATCAGTCTCAAGTTCCGACACTCGTTCCTAAAGCAGGGTAGACTCACCACCTCGGTCACACTTGCATACATCCCACATCCAAGTATAGTGACTCCCACCACAAATACGATCAAATTGAAGACCGCGGCCCGAAGATTCGCCGGATCAAACCAGGCCCCCTCCTTGAGCAAAAAGAACCACATCAACGGAGGGAGGTAAAAGGAAAACCCCGAGACCAGCAGACAGCCACAGATCGAGAGGAGCTCGGAGAAGAAAGGAATGGCCTCGGCGACAATCCAGCCAATGATATTGATGCAGGCCACGATTGCGAGCCAGGTCGCCCATCCCATGGGAGTGTTAACGTACCGCACGGCGGGGTTCTGAAAGATACGGCCGTGCATGAAACGGGCGGCGATGGTGGCGTTGATGGCACCCGAGATGTAGATGACAGGAAGGGCAACACCAAAGGCGATTTTAGCAATCAGAGGACTGGCAGATAGAAGCGCCGGGGATTGAACCCCTTGTCCCACAAACGCGTAGATCACAGCCCCTGTAACGGTGTAGATGGTCATTTGTGTACAGGCTAACAGGGTGATAGACTTGGTAAAGTCGGTCGGGGTGTGCATTTCGTCCATAAAGGTTGGCTGCGCCCCGGCAAAGGCGTAGGCAAAAGCGATATTGGAGATGGCAACAAACGCCTCGCTGAGAGTCAAGTCCTTTTTTGGCCAAGCCGACCACGCGGCTGACGCAGCGGTCGCGTTTTGGGACTGTTGAATTCCCGTGGAGACCATCACGATCCCAATGGCCACGATGATGGAGGCGAAGTCGATGTATCCCAGGATAGAGATATCTGCAAAGGTAGGAGGCACAGCAAAGGCAAAGAGAATGACAGCAGACACCACGCTGAAGGCGAGGGCGCACACGTTGCTTCCTGTGATAGTCGCTAGGGCCAGTTTACCCGTCAAACAATGCGAGCCGACGGTCATAGTCAAGAGGGCGACAAAAGCAACCGCCAGGACCTTGTCGCCAATGCTGCCCATAAGCAGACGGCCAAAGTCTACGATATGCGGCAGATGCGGATACTTGAGCTTCACAAGGCCGAGGATGTAGCTGGCGTAGATGGCGATAACCCCTAATCCAAGGGTCAATATGACACCAGCCACCATGCCCAGCGTTTCGAATGCAGCTGGCAGACTCAAGCTACCCAATGCAATAGACTGGACAATCAGCACGATGGTAAGGCGCTTCCAACCCAGGCGATGGAAACGCTGTTTGCCTTTGATGGCTCGCTCATCATCATCCTGCAGGGAGCCCTTGTCCAGGGTTCCGGCCACGGCTTGGTCGGGCTCAGTCATACCGCTAACTTTTGTCTCGCCATTGATGCCGAGCTCGTCGACGCGAGTTGTCCCGTCTCCCATCATCGGTGGTTGTTAGGGGGCGATGAAATGGCAAGAGGAAAAGAAGTCCAAGTTTGGTACCGGGAATGCGAAGAATAGTACTGTACACGGGCGTCCCCCTTTACCGGGTCAAATTACCCCGCACTTGGAACCGGAACCAGGCATCTTCCGGATAGAGGTTTGCAGGATTGGGGTACAGATAACTGCCTGATGAAACATAACATCATGTAATTATTTCTATTCTATCAACCCAGTCGCGACAATGCTGCCTTAGGTAGTGGGACCCGCTGTTCTGATTGGTCTCTCTCCGCGCCAAGCAGAATGGCGGGCGGAAACCTAGTATTATCTGATCATACGTTGCATCTGATTAGATTAGATTTCTGCACCCGCCCACTTGGGTCATGATTGAATGGCACTGAGTTGCCACCGAGTCGAGTGGCGGGTTAAATTCCGGTTATATTTACGGATAAAGGGGACGAGTGTCTTTCTGATGCCTACTGCCATCGGTTAACCTCACCATGGCAGAGCTGGTGTATAGATATAGGCTTGGAATGATATATGGCAGATGTAGTTTGTTCACGTGCAAGAATGATGGAACTAAAATTGAACAAAAACCTTGACAGAACACCGCTCCGGTCTCTTCTGAATGCATTTGATGATCTTAGCAGTTTCATTTTTTCTTGGTTAGACGGCCAGGGGGGTTCACTCGACCCATCGCGAGCCCCCGCTATACCTCATCAGGCTGACGGAACGACTAGTGGCCATTAGGCGAGGCACGATAATATAAGCATGTGGTCAATTGTCATTACCCCTCACTGGTCATCTAATACCACTCGCAAGTTACATCAGAGCAATACAGTTAAGTAAGGGGGTTGACCAGTGTACCAGGCATGTTTACCATCTGAGAGCCACGCGCTATGTAGCGCTTTCTCGTAGGAGATGTCGGAGCTGTCAAGACCGATATCATCGCAGAGGACGGGTAGAACGAGGTCAAGATCTTTGGCTGCGTCCGAACTTCGGGCTGGTTGGAGCATTGGCTGAGTGAGCGAGGTCAGGACCGAGGTCCGGCCCGGTCAGCGGACTTTCCATCCACCAAACAATATTCCCACCCTTCTCCTCAATCGGTCGCTGTCGCTTGAAGCTTGTAGCCACCCCACCATACAACTATGATACTGTACTATCTGCTCCCCATGGCACACACACCCAGTCTAGTCAGATGACATACCAACTTGTAGTTCATGGGAGATGAATACGTGCTACACCGCTATTCAATGCTACGGCAATTAGTGGCACCGTGTCCTGCTCAATTCGTATCCGTTCCTGGTCTTTGCATTAGTTTTTGAAGCGAGATGTATCTGGCCTGAGCTCAAAGACAACTTCAGTCTGTGATATTCAAGAGAGCGGCCTCAGCAACCCATCGCCCAGCACAGTCACATCGTCCCCGCGTCAGCAATCTGCAACTACTGCTCATCAAGCGAGTCCTTACCAACATGCACATTATATTACTCGACTTCCACCACATATCCGACCGGCTAGCACGGCCACCACAAGAGATCTCATTTGCTAACATGGGCTGTTGGCCGCTTGAAGGATCCACAGCAGCAACCGGCTCCACGCCATTGACCGAATCACAATCCGGGTTGGAATTCGCCATCAGAGAGCCCCTCACCAAAGGAGGAGTCGTCTTACTAGACAAAGCCAGCACGCCCCTAAATGACAGACGGCAGGTATTGCATGGAGTTTACGGCTGCTCTGGAGCCCTACAACCCGGACTACATAAGCACTGCGAACGCCTTGTGCTCCTACGGCTACGACATTTCAACTGTAAGCCTGGATCCATGTCCTGGGTGAACGATTTTGTTAACACTCTACAAGTAGAGGCTGAATGTAGTGTACTAAAAGTCGAGTATGTGATTTTTGGCGCATGATGCTTTGAAATCCTGGTAGACTAATGCGTACCACAACTCCCAACGCTAAGACGCATTCCTGTGAGAAAAGGAAATACTATGTCACGGTACATTGTATCATCAGAATGAGCAGAGAAAGTGCAAAGATGTTCCCCAGCATTATTTCACAATGAAACAAGGCGAAAACGACCCGAATCACCGCATACTTGAAGTCAGTACGAGTTCATCAAGTTCTACCTGCTCTGGCCCAAGACTCCTAATATCTATCGTACCCCCAAATCCAGCCTCAGCCCGTTCCCCAATCGAGCCCTTATCCCCCAACCCCAGCACCGCAAGACATCGTCTACCCAAAGCCCCGGCTTTCATATTCACATGATGCAGGGGGAGAAACCACGCCTTTCCGAGTACACTGTCATCCACGAAGGCCGTATCCTCCGCCGAGACAATCTTCAATCCATCCTTGTCTTGACGGTAATGCCGGAAGCAGGCCATCCCCTCTTTCGAAGCGCGGAACAGAGTTATTCTTTTGGTCGGGCTACAACTGTGAATGCAAACGTTGTGTGTCTCTGTGTAACTGGGCTTAAGAGATTCCAGCTCCTGGTGGTTGGGATCGGGAGCGGCGGTTTTTTGTTCCACGCAGAACGCATGCACCGGCAGCACAGCCCCATCCGCCACGTCTGTCCATCTAAAGTCTCGTTCCACGCCGGTATGTACGTCCTGGATTGACTCGGGATATGGCAGCGCCAACATCCCCCACGTATACTTGTCAAACAGCGCCACCAGCAGTCGCCGCTTCACCTTGTCCATGCCAAAGTCCTCAGCATATGTGACCTCAATGTTATCAATACCCAACGCGCCCACAAGCGCCCAGCAAGAGTCCTGGATCTTGCCGAACTTGCGCCCGCGCTTCCCGGCCAAGATGTCCAGGGGACTATTTTGCCAGTAAGCGACGAAGCCTGAGGCTGTGAGTGTCTGCAGAGACCGCCGCAACCACAGCTCCGGTAGTCGTGCGAAAACATGCGGGCGTTTAGGAATCGGCGTCCCGACATCCGGCTCATACCCCTGCGACTTGATGAAGTAGGCGATGGCAATCTCCCACGCCAATCTAGTAATTGGAACAGTAAGGTCCGCAACAGTGGCCTGGTCGCTGAGCCAGAAGTGCTTGTCGGGGAGTCGTTGTCCGCAGCCATCGACGAGCTCCGTTTCGTGCAACAGTACGCCTTCCTGCAGCGTCCAACCGGAGCACGTCCAGCGCTCTGTCTCGTGCGCCTGCTTCAAAAGTCTCATCAGGCTATTGGTGTGTTCCTCCAGCTCAGCTGGAGTCTGGTTATCTTCGTCCTCTCTGGGTTTGTCGTCCGGTATGCGCAGGTGAAGCAAGTCCTTAATCGCCGAATCCCGCTCCCAACAGGTCGCGTGAAGCCAGACGATGCTTTTCTTGGCTTTGCCGTAGATATGCCTAATTTGAGTCAGCAAACCACGAACCAGCAAGGAAGAGAGTCATCTAAGTTGGTGGATAGAAACCAACTTGGCTGGGAAAAGTAAACCTACACCTGCTTCCCAATCTCCTCCCCCTGAACCTTTCCCAAGTCTAATTTCTTATCCCAAGGTCGCATCTGGTCCCCGCTCTGAGGAACACACATCCAGTCCCACCAAATATACCGGGTCCCGATCGTCTCCATCACCTGTCGTGCTTTGGCGAGTGTCCAGCCCTTGACGGCGGGGACGTCCCATAAAAGACCCTGGGGGGGATCGGAGGCGGGCTTGCCACCATCAACTATGTAGCCCCATGTATAGGAGACGACGCCGTAGCCTTCACCATCGAGAATCCTCTGTGGAATATCGGTGTAGGGCACGATTCTCCACTGCTGGAGGTCGAGGAGCCAGCGGGGGCTTTGGGGGTCGTTGGGGGGGACGGATGTTCTGTTGGCCATGTTGCGGATGGGATGACCAGGCTTCGGGAATGTTAAATACACAGTAGAATAAGTTATTGAGTCTCAGGAGGTAGGAAGCCTCCCAGTTAATGTTAGAGTCTAAATGCCTTCGCTACTAGTTAGGTAGTTATCTAAGGAGGAGGTGGGCAAGTGGAGACGTGCCAGTCATTGGGGGTATTCGGCTGGTGGGGCTATTAGGTAGTAAGGAAATTGCGATCTGCTCTCCATCCGCCAATAACGTCACCGCGCGCCAGTCGCTTACATCTTCTCGAGTGCGCTCTTTTGAGTTCAGTTGGTCGATCTTGGCTCGGCCTTTGCAATGGGAGTGTCAATCTCGATGATCTGCTGATATATGTGATCCAGATAAATCTACCTCTAGGTGATTAGCATCAATGATTATACGGTTGAAATAGAAACTTCTTATCTCCTCTGTCTCTAGATACGAAGAGATGCAATATTCTAATATAGTATTTGACTTAGTATAGTTCATGGCAAGTAGAGGCTTTGGGAACAGGTAAAATGAAAGTCGATCTCTGTCGATACAGTCTCAAAGACAATACAAATTACCATTGCTTTCTTCTTTCTTTCTTTCTTTCTTTTGTTTGCGTTGATGATAATTGCATAGTATATCGGATATAAAATGACCATGTGACTTGACTTACTTAAATCTCCTCATATATACTCTACTTCCATACTTCAGGCCCTTTCGGCTCGTGAGCAACAAAGCTAATCCTCTGAAGATATTTGTAGCCACCGGTTGTGGTACATAGACAATTCAAAGCCTTCGGCCCAATATGTGCTTGGTGTTTAATGGGGTATGAAAAAGAACGCCTCGCTTTATTTGTCCAAAGTTGATGCATTCCCCACCGAGACGATGTGCCAGTATTTTTGTGATACTTGTAACAGCATAAAGCATTCGCTGCGCACTTACATATTAAGGCGGGTCCAAGAGATCCGCCGAAATACAAAAGAGCGTACGATTGCATTGTGACTTCTTCTCCTATCAATTCTTTGTAGACATGGATGAATAAGGTAAATGAATTGGCATTCCAGGAGCGCGCTCATCTCCGCGCGACACCACAGTCTCTCAGGTCATCAAATTCCATTGTGATCAATATCACCAGATGTCCCCAGCGTATTGTAAGAGGGGGTTGACCCTTCATGCGTTCATCAAGTTTAGCCAGACTCTCCGTTAGGGAGGCCTGTCATCAAAAGCACTCGAATAAAAGAAAAGCCAGCGTGGGTTCTTCTAAAATTGAATTGGATCTTCCTTGCGCAAGTGACAAACATATTAATGCTGGAATTCAGATAATAGGAACGGTGTCTGAAGTAAGTCGCTTGCCGACAGTCGGTCGCGAGGGCTTACTTGTAACATATGGGAAAGGAATGATGCCAGAGTCTTCACATTCTTAGCACCAAAGCTAATCGGTAGCCTGTCACTCAGGTATCTCATGAAGTTCTCATCACCCTGGCTGTTTGAACTCAGTCTTTGGTTGATGAGAGAACAATGGTCATTTTCTATCTCCTTGCGCGTAAGACGAAACGTATCCAGAGGGAACAGGGGCTCATTTGTTGCAAGTTCAAATAGCTTTAAATCAGGGTTAGAAAGTGAGGCTAGGCTTCAACAAAAGGTCTTAGCATACCAAACAACCCAGGGTCCAAATGTCTATGGCTCTATCTATACTAGTGCCATTGATATATTGTCTTATCAACTCAGGTGCACGCAAGGCCAGAAGTGTTACTGGTTGCTGGTCACAGTGGCGAATATATTGAGCTAATATTGTACCCGAAATTTGAGTAATACTGACCACACAAGATAGATGAATGGGTATATCTGACCTCCTCCCAGATCACCGATCCTAACCTGGATTGTCGAGAAATCTGCATTATTCAACTGGCCTCGGCGCCTTTGCGTAGGCATTAGATATCTGGGGGCGCTGTGGTCTTCAACCACACCTGGTAACCATTTGACAGGGCTGAACTCGGGAGGCTGTAACAGCTCGTCCATATTCGTGAGCCCAGCTACCGAAAACAGGATGTTTGCTGGTTGCAGATCTGCACATAATGATTAGACAGCTGCTTGCACCATCTGAGAGCTCCGACATACCACAATGAACGATACCTGACTGATGAAGAAAGTCAAGGCCCAGCAGAATCTGACGAGAAACAGCCCGAATATATCCTGCTTCTCGCGGTTTCCCACTGATTGTCATTGCCTCCCCATCGGATATCATCGCTGGGAAAACAAGACACAAGTGAGTTCCATTCGGACCCGTGTGAGAAAAATGATCGAGTATCTCAATAACATGTCTCCTTCCAGGGTGGGCCGTGTCAGAACATGACAGGGTAAGAAGGAAAGAGAGCTCGCTGTTGTTTTGGGACGCTTCTGACTTTGAAATTTTCAACACGACCTGTCGCGACTCCCTGCGAGGCGTTACATCCCAGCCTGTTATTCTTGACCCAATGCCGCACTCCGCGGAGGAAAACTCACAATTGCCGGTCCTTTGCAAGCCATACTGTGGAGTATTGGCCAAAGGCTAGTTTTCCAGTGATTTCATATCTCTGATGAAACACGTCACCAAGGTGCACTGGATGATACCCCCCCGGGCGGTACTCTTCAACGGGCTCCACCGCATCATAGATCCGTTCGAAGCGACGCATTGTTGATACCGCGTAGTGACAATAATAAGTGACCGGGTGCACATACGGTGTCTTAGACAGTGGATATGAAGAAGTTTATTGGCCAATTTCCAGGCCGAACAGATGACGGTGCTCAAGTCATTTAACCTGCTTCCTAGTGTCAGCATGCCACATCCGGGCGCCTTCTCTCCAACGCGGAATATCTATGATCCGTCACCCCGCCTAGTATTACGTGCAGTCTGGGGCAGTAATCCTCGGACTTGAGGTTTGGACTAACCCGGGCATTCAAGAAGTCTTTGACTCTCGTGATATTGTTTTGGCATATGATGTGTACTAGTCGAGGCCATTCATCCCATCCCAGGTCAATATTTAGTTTCCATCGCTCATGCTATATGTTGACAAGAGAGAGCGCACGGCCTGTAACTCTTTTGGCCTTGGTAGTTTCTTCGATGAACTTACCAGTAGATCTTTGCAGGTGCAGCTGAGCTTGCTAAAGGACTGACCATCGAGATAGCCGGCATAGTCGAGGTGTAGCTCATCCGGCAACTGTAGAAGACAAGCAGAGACCATCCTCCCACAATTCACTATGAACCACAATTGGTCAAAGCGGCAATCAAGATGCATGGTTGGTAGAGGTCCCTCGGTATCTATATATTGAGATGTTAAATGGCAGTATTGAAAACTCAATGAGGATTTGCCCTCATCCATGTCAGGATTGGCAAAATCTCAAAGCCAGCATCATGTAAGCAATGACAGCTGCAGACCAACAAGGTATTTGGCTCGGACAAATATTTCATGACTGGACCTACTAGCAATTTAAAAAGCGTCACTGTGTAACGAATATAAATCATGAGGTTATATCGATCACTGCTCTTTTGCTAATGGGTTGGTGAGATTCAGCTTTCATTGATCTCCCTGAAAGTGGGCTTGCGGCTGCTCTAGTATGAAAGCTACATCCGAAGCAGGTTCCTTGACATCAAACCCTTTTCGTAAGAAGGAAGATATCATGGCTTTGCATGTTTCGACATGGTCATGTTGCGGCTGTGCAAACAAAAGCAAGGTTGTGTGCGCAATCTGAAACGGAAATATAGCTGCAGCAGGGCCATATATCTTCATGTTGTCCTCTAGAAAATAGCTCATGCTTTGGCATACCTTGACAGACAAGTCCACGCGCTCCTCGAGCATCCGAAGGGCGAAATCTTCATTGAAGTCTCCGCAGGGTTGATGACTTTTGCCTAGTATCCCTAGTTCATAAAGCTGTGTGAGACAGATAATCTGAAATGTCCAGCAATGGATGAGAGCTGTAGCTGCAAGGGCGTTCGGGAAGCAGAATGGTAATACGGAGATGTAGTCCGACTTTAGGTCCTTTGGCTGGGTCCAGTACAAAGGTCCTGGAAATAAGTTTTGATACGACAGCACCCATTGTCGAAGCACCTCGAGTAGTTGAGTAAGTGCCAGTGTGATGGCCCGTATTTCAGCAAAGCCTTGCTGTGCAGGAATGAGTTTGGCACGATCGGCTCGATGCAGCAGTGAGGGAAGAACGGCAGCGTAGCCTAGAAGCCGTTGCATTGGAGAAGGGGAGTGCTTCTGAAATGGAACACTTTGCCATTGCTGTAACGTTAAAAAGGTAGGGCTGCGTGAGAGGATAGCTTCGATCAGCTGTACTCGTGTTATCCTGCTGTACCACATTCTGGGACTACTCAGATCCTACATACAATCAAGGGGCGGAAGCCTACAAACAGCCGGTGAGCAGTCGAAACAATGAACTGTTCCGGGCCAAGCTTTTGTACTAATTGAGCCACTGCCCTTACGTGAAACCTCCAGCCTTTCTGGGAGGTTGGCATCATCAACTGCGAAAAGGAAAGAAAAAAGCGTGGTTAGCTCCTTTAAAGTAACCAGCCAACTTCGCATTGAGTGTCAGCGTACCTCTGCAAGCGTCAACGACATGATAGCTGCGACAGTCTGCTTGTGAACGTCCTCATTGTGCAGTAGCAGTTGGCTTCGGAGTTGGTAGATAGCAGAGCAGTAGGATTGGAGACGCTGGTGATTGTGGAGACATTTGGTCTCCCCTCTCTGGCATCTGCAGATAATAGAAAGCCCCAGAGTTCTAATAGCCTGTATAATAAGAGATCCGGGTCGTTCTTCGTCGATCAAACTGGGGAGCACGCCTAACCAGGAAGCGCAGACCAGTGATTGTGACGAATATAGCTCCGAGATACATATCGGCAACTTGGACCCAGGAATGAAATGGTCAATGGCTACTGCCAGTAGCTCCTCCGCTGTTGACAATCTGAAACTCGTGAAATTCAGCATTAGGTTCCCCGTCTCATTGTTAGTCCGCCCTCGTGCCAGGCTTTGATTCTGTGGACGCTTTGGTGGCGAGGGGTTGTTACTGTTGCGGCTAGGGTCGCCCGGGGCTTGGTGCACGAATATGATCTTTCGCGGATAACCCGGGCATGCTTGCCGGAACTGGCGGCACTGCGTGCAAGCTGGGACTTTCCCGTCACACTATTGCTCCAGTCAATCGGGAAGATATTAAACCACTGGCAATGGGAACTGGGTTGGAAACTGGTGGCCTACCCCGATCTTACGATCCCGGCAATTTTGACAAACCGATGTGCTTCGAGGTTTCATTCTCCTCATCACATTTTTCTCATCCGGAAACTGAGTGGTACACCTTCACCGAGTTGAAGACAGTTCGCAGAGCTTGGATGAATGCCGGATGAAAATCCGTTTGGATAATGTCTAACATGATGATCTAACTTAGCTCGGGGGCCGACCTCGGACCTCGGAGGGCCGGAGCATTTCCCCATTCATCATGGATTGTGGATTATGCAGTGGGTTAGATAAGTTACCTACAGGTTACCTCAACACTAACCCAAAATAGATCCGATATCCGCCAAGAACCAGTATGACAGACGCTAACCTGATCTAGAGACCATTTCCGCCAAGAGTCAGTATCAAAGACGCTAACCTAATCTAGAGACTATTTCCGCCAAGAATCTGGATACTGGATACTAGGTGGTAGGTACCTGGTCCCTCCACCTAAGTATAAGCTACTACCTAACTACTGCGGAGACGAGACCAAGGGACTGTACCGATTCTTTCAAGGACATATATTGCCTAAGCAGATATTTTCGGTCACTCTCCAGCACAGTAGGCCAAGCATGCTTTCACAGTCGCCGAGATTCGCCCAGTATCTACCTATATATATGGTACGTATGCCCTCTCACCGAGTTTCCCTTTTTTCCAAACACCTAACTATCTACCTCTTTGATCCACCAGTTCGAGTCAAAACAGAGATAACCATGCCAACCGTCCATGCTCGGAGCTTTGCCACCCAGCGGCTACGTGCCGGCCAATCAATCAAGGTTATTCAATCATCCGGTGGCCAGGTTGTGGACTTCTGGGCTTTTTCCCTTCCATCCACCACTTCTTTCCCGCGCTACATGTCCATGACGCATACTCGTTCAACCTTGCATAAACTTCTGCCTTCGCTGCAGGAGTCTTTTCTCGACAACCGACGAGATCCAATTCTGACAATTGTGGAGGATACGTCTCCCGGAATCCACGATGTTCTTTTCGCTGCCTGCTCCCCGGAGCGCTATTTGCAACTAGGCGCCTCGGCAGGACATGATAATTGCGCGAGTAACCTGTTCGAAGCTGTGAAGAAGATCGAAGACCCCTCGTTTCTGTATCTACTGGAGTTCATGCAGCATGGCTGGATGCCTGATCCTCTCAATCTATTCATGAATGTGGCTGTCGACAAGAATAAGCTGACGTGTTTGAACCCGGAAAGCAAGGCCGGAGACTTCATCACTCTCATGGCAGAGCAGGACTGTCTCGTCGCCATGAGTGCTTGTCCCATGGATGTGAGCGCTTGTAACGAGGGCGAGCCTACCAGTGTTGAATTTCAAGTGCTTTAATTTGAGACGGAACGGGGGCATGGTACATCCGGCTTCACAAAACACTCTCTGGGTGGCATTTTTGCAACGCAGTTCGAACGTCATCCATCAGGCGGAGGCTGTGCAGTTTTGGTACTCTTTTCTGCAATTGTACATGTCACAGTAATATGCGACTGAAGGAGTATAGACCAACAAGAATTTCGATTTACATGACTATACCTTCAACTGCCGCAACAGCATTAATTGACTACACATTGGGACCAGATTTCCAAGAGTAGAAGCATTCTAACTCCTTAGTTCCCCATCGCCCGGCAGCTTTGGCAGCGATGGCCAGTCATAACTCTAATCCTCCCCATCCAACTCCCTATAATCATTTGTCCTCTGCAATTGCATTTCCAGTAGCTACAGCCCCAGTTGGTTTTGTCTGGGGCTGTATATCGAGTCATACCCTGTAGCCTTGCGGCTGGTACTTTGAAAGTCAGCCCCGGCGATTTGAAGCCCTCGGCCGGAAATGCCTCGGATTATCGTTTAGGTGGAATCTTTCTGCCTCTCTAAGTTACGTTGGTGCCACTTGCACGACACAGACAAGCCAAGTATAATTCGATCAGTACCCATCTTACGCCATCCGACCACTATTTGTCCCGACGTCATATCATCACTAACCTGCTAAGCTGAAGGGTCATCGTCTTACCGAATAACATCTCATGTCTCCCGTTCCTCTCAGTGAAGATTCCGGCAATACACTATGTCCACTGCTATCTCCATCGAATCGCCTTCGTGTTGAGGATATGTTAACCCCGAGGGAGCTGATGAGGCGGAGTTAACGCGGACTTAGGCTTAAGCACATTTGACTATACAACAGGTCGTTAAGACTCTAACATCACAACATCTTATACACGCAATACTTAATGTGCTGATTACCCACACGCTAGACCTTCCTTCTAAGCCATCTACCATTCTCCATCCACAACACCCGCAGTCACGTATTTCCTCCGCTTACTGCAACCTACACCGCCCAAAGCCACGCCGAATCACTCCCAGGTACCACATTAAAACTCCGTGTTTTCTGCAACAGATCGAAGATGACGTCCGACATCCCCGACATCCCCATATTCCTCCCAAAGATTCCTCCGCAAACCAAAGACGCCATCATCGATCCCGTATACCGCGCCCTTCTCGCGATTGACACCGCCAATCCTGCCCTTTTCGCCTCTGCCATCCACGAAGCCGCCCGCTTCAGCTTGAACGGTCGTCTTCTCGAGGGCGCTGACGCTATTAAGACACATGTGTACGATACAGTGTCCAAGATAGACACGACTCACCACCTGTCCAACCTCCGCGTCACCGCATTCGATGAGGTGAAAGGTACGGCTAGCTTGGTTGCTACCGTTCTGGCACAGCACTATCGACAGGCAGAGGGACTGGATGCTTCTTCCAAGGGATTGTTGGCGGGAGGTTTCTATTTTGTCGAAGCTGTCCGCGAAGGGGAAGATAGTGATGTGTGGAGGGTTAAAGAATGGACCTTGAGGGTTCTTTGGAGGGAAGGCGACGAGGGCGTAATGGCGAGTGTCAACGGAAACGGTGACAAGAAGGAAGAGTAGAGGGGGAGGTTTTATATGGAACGAGATGCGGACGACTATATGTAAATAATCTGGCTGGGTGATTGGTATCTTATGAGAGGCACGCATGATGGATTACTAAGGCATTACAAATCCAGAACAGCGATTATCAATGGATGATTTAACATGAAGAAGCGCTGAAAGAGAGTGGTAAATCAGCGGTTGCTCGATGCCTTGAAGTCTTAGGCAAGTAATCTAATCCATCAAATTGTGCAGCTGAGACGGGCAATGGTTATTGATCAAGCGTGGCCCAATGTCAGTAGAACCTTCATACTGCGGTGTGTCGAAGCCGCCCGAAATACCTCATATGCTTGCTCGATTTCGTCGAGTGCAAATGCTGCAGCTGTTAGCTTTAAGCAACCTCAAGAACATCTCAGACGGGCAGGAAGCTCACTGTGGGAGAGGAATGCATCCGGAGTCAGTATTTCAGCCTGGACCATCTTCAGTAACTCGGGCGTGGTCCTTGTGTCCACGAGGCTGGTCCGTAAGCCTACATCCATTGTTAGCTCACCCTTCCTCAGGCAGAGTACTTGGAGGGACTGACAAATATTGCGATGCCACAGGTGCTCCAGATGGAAGGCACAACTGCTGCCATGCACTCCAAGCGACGCAATAGTGCCACCCGGTGCGACCAGATACTGCGAGAGATCAAATGTTTCCTTGGCTCCAGCGGCTTCGATCACTACGTCGAACAGCTCTCCATCCGTCAACCTCCGACAGGCCTCGATGGCCTTATCTCGACCATCCAGGGTGGTGAGGGCATGATCGGCGCCCAGTTCCTTCGCCCGCGCCAGTCGATACTCGCCCCTACTAATGATGATCACCTGTCGAGGCAGCCCATAGCCTCGTTTTAGAATCATCAGTGCCGTCAGCGCAATGGGTCCTGCGCCGAGAATGGCGACTCGTGCGCCCGGCTTGATGTCGCCGTTCATTATACCGCATTCAAATGCAGTAGGAAACACATCCGACAACATCACGTATGCCCTGGGATCGATTCCCTGGGGAAGCTGGTGGAGAGAGAAAGCGGCATGCGGAATCGGGACGTATTCCGCCTGCGTACCATCGATCTGGTTGCCCAAAATCCACCCCCCAGACGTGCATTGGGAGAATATCCCCCTCCGACAGAACCGACAGTGGCCGCAAGAGGTGATACAGGAGATCAGGACAGTTTGACCAACTTGGAGGTTGGTCACGCTTGGTCCGACCGAGTCGACAATTCCGACGCCCTCGTGGCCTAGGATACAGCCTGGTTTGCATGGGATGTCATTCTGGAGAAGGTGGAGATCTGTGCCGCAAATGGTGGTATAAGTCACCTTCACAATGGCATCTGTGGGCTCTTCAATCGAAGGTTTTGGACGCTCTTCAATGGCAAGACGGTGAGGACCATTGTAAACAACTGCTTTCATTGTGTGGATGGACCCCATGGTGCAAGGCAATTCTCTGGGATCTTATGTATGGATCTTATGTTAGATTGACATCCCCCCGCCCCCTCCGCACTGCATGCACCCTTTAAATATTTCGAGAGTCAGTGTTTGCGTTGCATTGCTCTGGTACTTTCAACACTCTTCGCTCATGCAGCATGCGGAGATGTCATGTACTAAATGACCAATTATATTTACCGCCATGGTCGGCTTGAACGGCTGGGTGAAGGTAGCGAGCTGCATGGCGCTGAGCTGCTGCAGTTACTTAGCTTAATCGAGCTACGCGTATCTGCGCGGGGTCGTATTCCGCGGAGAAGACAGATCCGTGAGGCAGATGTCTCGGAGACGCCGGGGACTTTCTCACTCGATATTATCCTTAACTATTCGGCTACAAAGTTTGGATGGGAGTCTCTCTTCTTATTTGGCTTTGTTTTCTGCTGCTCGAGTATTCCGTACGTGATCTTCGATAGCCGCGATTTCCTTCTTTCCGAGAAAGCGGTAGGCGGTACGTAGCGGCAAAAGATTTCGCCTATCCATCTAGTAGCCCAAGCTTTATCCCTTGCCCCAGTGATGGAAAAAAAAACAGAAAAAATATCATGAGAGAAACTCTACCTCAAATGGCTTCAGACTTCCTTCTCCTCGACTCCCGCCCCCTCTCCGACCAGGGAAAATGCCAGACGGGGATGATGAAAAAGCTGTTGCTCGTGTCGGCAATTCCCGCCAGACAGATATACCACGCCAAGAACGCCCCGAGTAGGGCAAATAATCCCCCCGCCTTGAGCAGAGGCGTGTAGGGTGCGCCGTTTGGGCGATGAAGGTAGCCGACTGCCAGGAGGAGCACGGCAAGGTCGACGGAGGCAAACAGGGAGAAAAATATGACCGTTGACTTGACCGTGCAGGTCACGAGTAGGAAGGTGAAAATAAACCAGCCCTAGTGTCAGTCAAGTCAGCAAGCCAGACGCTCAACGTGAACGGAGACACAAACCATTAGATACAGCCCGAACGAGTCATAGAACATGGCTACAGACCCATTGTCCG